TGACTATCTTATCTGCTATAAATATAGATGTTAAATATATTTTATTTATTTTATTTATTTGATTTGTATCCCGCCCTTCTCCTTACCGGAGAAGGGCGGGATACAACCGAAGTTTTATTGATGTAAAACTACAAGTTTGTGTCAGTGTCTCCCACTTCATTTGGACGGCTGCCACTCAATTCCTCAACATTAAATCTTTTTAGTTGTGCCTTCCAGTCGTGGGTTTCATTCCACTAAGTTCCAGTAATTGCCACCATGACACACCTGCCTTTGGGTTTCACGTTCACCCTGTTTATTCCTTGGTGTAGCTTTGGTGTAGAGGCATCTGAGTCCCTCTTGACTGACCCTTTCTTGGGTTTCTACATCCCCTCTTTTATGTCCAAGTTCTTTTTTGCCCCAAATTTTAAAAAAATCTGTTGTATCCACAGCAAGGAGGTTTTGTTCAGGCACATTTTTTTTTAAAAAGGAACAATTAACGAATGTTAAAGGAACATCTATCACTTGAGAAGAAACTCTCAGGGCAGGACGGGGTCCCCAGGCAGGAGGGGAGGGAGGGGAGCGGCTCACCCCACTGCACAACAGTTGTGTATATACACAGCCAGTCGCACAAAGGGGGTCCCAGATGCAGGCAGCGACTGATCAAAGCAGAACTCCTGTCCTCTTTTCACGTTTCCCCAGCAGGATTTTGATTTCCTCTGAATTCCTCCTGCCCCCCCAGCCCCCCACGCCCCCCCACACACAAACACACAGAGGAACTTTGTTTCTTTACGCAACCCACAACAGCTGGAGGAGTGCTGGAGTTTCGTTCCCCCCCCACGTCCCCTCCCCCTGCCTGAAGCGCTGGGCTCCCCCCAAAGCAGAACCGAGAACTGGCCCGGATCCATCAGGCAACAAGCCCGCATTCTTCCCCGGGGCAGCTCCGGGACTCTCCCGCTCTGCCCCATGGCTCCAGGTGGGGCGGCCCCCTCGGTCCTCTGTCTTCTCCCCCCCCGAAGAGGCTGAGGGGTCCCTCCTGACCCCCGAGGAGACCCCGGACAGCCCAGGGAAGAAACAGAGGAAGGGCTGGAGAAACGTCCCCGGAGGCCCAAAGGACCCAAAGGCTCCGATTCTCCCCCTTCACACGTTGCGGGGAGACTCGGCTCTCTCGGGGGGGAGGTTGGGGGGGCTCTGATGCCGGGAAAGAGGGAAGGAGAGAGAGGAAAAGGATGAGAAGCAGGGAGAGGGAGGGGCTCAGTTGCAGTGGGGGGAGGGGGATGCTGAGGGAGGACCTGGAGGAGTGGGGGTAAGGGTCTCCCCAGAGAATGTCCATGGGGGGTTAAAGGTTGACACTAACTTGATAGCAGGTAACCATCATTAGCCTGTCTGGTTAAAGGAGATCTCCAGTCTTTTCCCCACCAGTGAAAGCCCTGGGGATGGTGATGACTTAGCAAAAGTTCATTTCCTGGCTGTTCAAAGTTACAAGGGCCCTGAAAAAACTGACTCTACACCTCATATTTCTTCTTTTTATTTATTTTTATTTTTTTATTGTTTTTTTAATAATTTCATGTATATACCTGTATTTAGCTTTGTGTATCCAACCCAGTCACTTGTTGTGAGATCGGTAGTTATATAAATTTGATAGCTACATGATATAGATAGTTAGGGGGGGGGGGGTAGAGAGATAGAGATGATAGAGATAGATAGATAGATAGATAGATAGATAGATAGATAGATAGATAGATAGATAGATAGATAGATAGATACAGAGATAGATACAGAGATAGATACAGAGATAGATAGATAAAATATAGAGAGATAATAGAGAGAGATGTAGAGAGAGAGATGATAGAGATAAGGGAGAGAGTGGGAGGGAGGGAGGGAGGGAGGGAGTGGGAGGGAGGGAGAGAAAGAGGGAGGGAGGGACAGAGACATCCTGGGATTTCCAGACCACTTCATCCCAGGACTAGCCTGGACTGGCCTTGCATAGTTTTTGAGATCAGCCCAGGTGAGCGAGGGATTTTCACCTGCTGACAGGGAGCCTTTCCTCTCTAGATCATCCAAAAAACCTTTGTTGAAGAGATAAAATAGCGCATCCATAACAAGACTCAAAAGAAGGAGCTGCTTCTTCTTTACCCTTCTTATAAAGTGTTTGATTTCATCTTCCAAAATACATTTGCCTTCTGGCAGACCGATCAAAACGGGTGAAATAATCAAATTTCTTAATTCCCATTTTAAAAGGCATATTTTCAAACCGGCGCAAAGAATGGCAAGCACATTGGATTAAAAAAAAAATGTTATACAGTTAGGGAGGTCTTATGGGAAACAGAAGGAGACAATCTTTCCTAGGCAGTAAAAGGAGGGAAAGAAAGTGAGCAAATGGATCAGTCTCTAAGGAAAGATTTGGCCCGAAGGCTTTGAATTAAAGTGGTTGGGAGTCTCCTGGCATTTCTCCACATTTGATTTCAGTGCCCAGGGGAGACACCCCAAATGGGAAGCATCCAGAATCTGCTCTGCAAAAATGTAACAGAATAATAATAATAATAATAATAATAATAATAATAATAATAATAATAATAATAATAATAATAATAATAATAATAATAATAATGATGATGATGATGATAAAGTTGGAAGGGACCTTGGAGGTCATCTAGTCCAACCCCCTGCTCAGGCAGGAAACCCTATACCATGTCGGACAAATGGCTGTCCAGTCTCTTCTTAAAAACTTCCAGAGATGGAGCAATCACAACTTCTGGAGGGAAGCAGTTCCACTGATTAATTGTTAGGAAATTGCTCCTTAAATCCAGATCTCTCCTTAATAAATTTCAATTCCGTTGCTTCTCAGTCTGCCTTCAGGAGCTTTGGAGAATAGCTTGACCCCCTCTTCTTTGTGGCGGTCCCTCAAACAACTTTGATCAGCTATCATGTCACGCCTAGTCCTTCTTTTCTCTAGACTAGACAAACCCAATTTCTCAACCTTTCCTTTTATGTTTTAGCCTCTGCCCCTCCCTAATCATCTTTGTTGCTCTTCTCTGTTCTCTTTCTAGAGTCTCAACAACCTTTTTACATCGTGGTGACCAAAATTGGATGCAGTGTCCCAAGTGTGGCCTTACCAAGGCCTTGTAAAGTGGTATTAACACTTCATGTGATCTTGATTCTCTCCCTCTGTTAAGGCAGCCTAGGACTCTTAGGGAGATTTGAGTCCGGTGGGGCTGACCCTCTAGTTCCCTCCTCTACTTTATGAGAGTCAAAGTTGTCTGCTAGGTTCATCAGGAGCCTGTTTGATCTCCCACTAGGTGCAAAAAAATGTGTCCCAGTTGATATCAGGGTAGTCAAAGTCCCCCATGACTATTTTACTGTGCTTTCTCCATGCCTTAACTAACTGGCTAGTAAAAAGTTCCTCTGTTTGGTTGGGTGGCCTATAGTATAAACCTATGGCAGGGGTAGGCAACCTTGGCTCTTTTATGACTCGTGGACCTCAACTCCCAGAATTCCTGAGCCAGCATGGCTCAGCTTGGAAACCTCTCCCTTTCCCCTCAGCATGGCTGGCTCAGCAATTCTGGGAGTTGAAGTCCACGAGTCATAAAAGAGCCAAGGTTGCCTACCCCTGGCCT